GGGAAACTTTAATGGTGCTGCCAACTTTGGAAAAAGTCATCCCAATTTACTGTGTTGAGTTGGCATTGTACAGAAGTGGACAACCATATTGGTCTAGAAATGTTAATTTATTTTTTTTTTCCATGTACAGGGGTAACACATCGTACTAAATATGTAAGGTCATATCTACATGGGTTTGATTACAGAAACTAATAAAGTATTCTCTAAATAATGAAGAAAAGAAGAAGATAAGACTATAAGAGTGAGAAGCAATTTAAATATGTTGAGGGACCATTTTCATCTCCAGAATTAAGGATTATTTAAATCCTACATCATTGCCTTTTCTCTTTTACTTTCCTTTTTAGTTTTATTTTAGGATTCCCTATTTTTAATGTTCATACAGAGATTTCTTTAACTGAAATACCAAATAGTTTCTTTGGTGTGAAAAACTATAATAGTACACAGGATCCTAATGAGATAATTAATAATGTGAAATAGGAAGTAAAGGGCTAAAGGTGTAGGGAAAGTGGAAAGGATGGGGGAAAGGTAATAAGGGAGAGGAAAAAATATGAGAAACTGAAAAAATGGAAATAAAGTGTTTGTAAATGGTGAGGGGAGGAGGGGGTGAAAGGAGGGCAGGGACAAGGGGAAAAAATGAGAATCAAGACCTATTATGTAAAGGTGCAGAATCCCAATGATGAATGTAATTGTATTGTATACCTAGACTGTACCAATAAACTCAATAAAAAGAAAAAAACAAACAAACAAAAAAGAGTACTAGAGTTGATGGTACATTTTTGCTGAACCTCTGTGAGTGAATTTAAAACAACAGAATGTGAAAATAAAGTGATATGTGAAATTTGGATTGATAATACCATTGAGAATAGTAATAGATCTTGAGTTAATTGAAATGTTTTTTTAAAAATGTGAGAGCCAGGGCTCAGTGGTTCTACCGCCTGCCTTGTAAGTGCAATGGCCCGAATTCGATCCCCAGTACAAAAAAAAAAAAAATGTGAGCCTGTAGTCAATGGTGTGTGTGTGTGTGTGTGTGTGTGTGTGTGTGTGTAAGAGGACCTAGGGCCTTAGCACTAAACTCCATCTCCACCCCATTTTACTTTAGACAGGGTTTTTGCTCAGTTGCCTAGACCAGGCTTAAATTTACAGTCTTCCTGCCTCAGTCTCCCAGGGTACTGGGATTTCAGGCATGCTCTACAATACCTGGCTTGTAGTCACTTTGAACTTTCTGTAAAATCTCAAGCATATTCTGTGATATTTAACTTTTGGTAAAGGTAAGGTATTTTATTGTTTTTATGTGATTAGCTGCATCTGTTTGTTTAAAAGGCTTTTTATAAAATAATTTTATTCTGTATAAAATAATTTTATTGTTCTAGGACAATGGGTTTAGTTCCTAGGTCATATTTTAATAATTTTTCTTTTCAAAGTTTGAAATAAGGCATTATCATTTTCAGTGAAAAATGTCTTTGTGTTTAAATGACATTATTGAATTACATTACAAAATACCAAACTGCTAAGAGACAGAATTGTATTTTCTTCATATTTTGAGGCTTGGTATTTATAAATATGTGAAAGTGCCAAGCATTTACTTAGATATATTCATAAAATTCTATTTATTTGAATGGGAACATCTAAATCACTGGAATAATCAAAATGTTATTTCTTTTTATCAAAATGTTATTTTTAATTAGGATACCAGACATTAATCTTTATTAGGAAATAATAGCCATTTAAGAATTTCCCAAAATGGGTCAGTGGTTTTCTTTGCCACGAGAAAACATTTATAAAGAGGTAATAAATGAGTTTTTAAATTTTTAATAATTTCAAAGGGAAATTTTTTTACTATGAATGTTAATATCAATAAGATGAGTTTATGAAATTTTCAGTTCTAAAAGATAAAAATGATTGGTGAATATAAAATTGATTCAAGTAGTATGAAGTTGGTCTTTCTCTGTTACTAGATGAGTTACTAGTGTAAGAATTTAAGAATTGGCATCATAGTATATACCTATAATCCCAGGATTTGGGAAGCTGAGGCAGGAGAATTGTGAGTTTGAGTCTAGTCTGGACTACATAGCAAGACCTTGTCTCAAAAATATAAAATTTATAAAAAATTTAAAAACATGAGGTACTTTGGTAGGTGCAGTATTATACCCACATTAGCTGGTCCCGTTGAGGCACACTTTTTTTGTGTTTTTTTGTTTTTTGTTTTTTGAGACAGGGTCTCACTATGTAGTTGAGACTGACCCAGAACTCACTATGTAGCCCAGGTTGATCTTGAACTATGGGGCACACTTGTAATCTCAGCAACTGGGAAGCTGAGGCAGGAAGATCACTGAGAGTTCAAGGCCAGTGTGGACTACATAGTGAGTTCAAAGCCAGCCTGAACTGCATAACAAGACCCTATCTCAAAAAAACTAAATTTAATTTATTAATTTTCCTGCTATGTGCTGTTAAAAAGAGTAGGTGGAAATCTTAATTTGAGACATGGTAAGTCCAGTCATGGTGATGTGAAATACATTGTTTTTAGGTTTACTGAAGTACTAATCATTAACAATATAGTCACTTGTTTGACTATGTGCACATTGATAGGAATTTTAAATTTACAATATAGAGGAGAATGAGCACTTATCAGAACAAAAGGAAATGTGTGGTTAAACGGTTTCAGCTATAACTGTAGACTGTTTCCCTTGGTCCAAGTGGAATGAAAAGTGGAACCTTGTGTTTTGGGAGTTTTAAGGGTGTTATTCCTCCTCCCAGTGTAAGTAGAAACTAGTTCAGCATGGTTTATTGAAACTGTTAGCAAAAGTGGTTATGTTTAGCAGTGGAGGGAAACAATTTAAGCACGTAGTAAAAAGGTATAAATCCTGTAGGTTTTATTTTAGAATTGTCTCAGAAGCAGTATTTATTTTATTTATTTTTTTATTTTTTTATTTTTTTTAGTTAGGGTCTCACTATGCAATTGAGACTGACCTAGAACTCACTGTGTAGCCCAGGCTGGTCTGGAACTCACAGCAATCCTCCTACCTCATCCTCCCGAGTGCTGGGATTATAGGTGTGTGCCACCATGCCCATTTCATAGTACTTAATTTCAGTAGTGGGTTGGCCTGGGATTTAGCTCAGTGGTTCCAGTGCCTGCCTCATGAGCAAAGGACCTGAGTTCAGTCCTTGGTACCAAAAAAAAAGTGAGTTGAAAGAACTGTTTTTTAGATAAATGGTTGATATTACATATCAACTCATGATTTTTAAAGTATTGTGCTATGTTTAAAAGACTGCAAAATAATTCTTTTTTTTTTTTTTGGTACCGGGGATCGAACTTGGGTTCTTGCGCTTGCAAGGCAGGTGGCAGAACCCCTGAGCTAAATCTCTGGCCCCACTGTGAAATAATTCTAATTAAATTATTTTAAAAAGTAGCAGTGCTTTGCCATGGATCATTTAAGGACACATAAGGACAAACTGCATACTATTTAATGTTATGTAGCAATAAGTGTATTATTAGTTGAGGTTCTTTGGTTAAAAGCAGTACAAATCAACTCTGGCTAACTTAGGTTTAAAAAAGAAAACAAAGCCTGATAGGGTAGCACCAACTCAGGCTGAAGCAAGAGAATCAGTTTAAGGCCAGCCTGGGCAACTTACTTAGTAAGATCCTGTCTCCTTCAAAAAAGAGAAGAAAGGGCTGGGATTTAGCTCAGTGGCACCACACCTGCCTCGCAAGCACAAGGTCCTGAGTTCATTCCCCAGTACCAAAAAAAAAAAAAGAGAGAGAGAGAGAGGAAAAAAAATAGAATTTATTGTCAAGGATACCTTCTAAAGGATGCCTTCTAAAACTGAAGGGAAGTCAGGCATAGTGGTGCATGCCAGTAATCCAGTACTGAGGCAGGGAGTGTAGTGGAGGCAACACACTGACAGACAACTGAGGCCTGGAAATCCCAAGTTTGAGCCCAGCTTGGGCAATTTAGTGACTTGAGAACTTGTCTTTAAAAAAAAAAAAAAAAAGGCTGGGGCTGGAGATTTAGCTCAGTGGTGCCAAGCCTGCCTCGCAAGTGCCAAGGTCCTGAGTTCTGTCCTTGGTACCCGAAAAAAAAAGAGGGCTAAGGATTAGCTCAATCCAAAAGCCCTGGGTTCAACCCTCAATACTGGAGGATGAAGGAGGAGGAAAGTATAGGAGCCTGAGCTTGGTTAGCTGCAAAGTTGAGGGAAGTAATACATGTTCTCTTCAGAGGACAGTGAATTCCAGCTTTTTCCATCTTTATATCTTTCTAACCAAGATTCAGACCATTGGATGAGGAATCTGGTTGTCCTGGCTTCAGCTGGAAGAGTAAACATACCCATTTAGAACATTACCTGATTACACACAGTTTCTATAAATCCTATATAATTTCCCTTTAAAAGTAACCTGGGCCAGATGTGGTGGCACATGTCTCCAATCCCAGCACTGGGGAGGCTGAGGCAGGAGGATCATTATGAGTTCAAGGCCATCCTGGGCTATATAAGTGAGTTCATGTCCAGCCTGACCTACATACCAAAATTCTATCTCAAAATAACCTGGAAGATTGTGACTAGAATTAAAATTTTAGGGGCTAAGAATGTAGTTCAGTAGTGGAACACTTTTTCTAGCATTCCTAAGATCCTGAATTTGATCCCCAGGAACATTTAAAAAAAATTATAGTATGGCCGATTCTTTTATAGGATATGTTCAGAGGGTGTTGTTTAATGTGTGTATGTGTGCATACTTTTTATAATTCATTTTATATTTTTTTAAAACAAACTGTGGGGTTGAAATAAGCTTAATCCTTTGATTTCCGTGCATCTAATGGCTTTTTTGATGATTTTCATATCTTTTTTCTGTGTCTCAGGTGTATTTAAAAGCTCCCATGATTCTGAATGGAGTCTGTGTTATCTGGAAAGGCTGGATTGATCTCCAGAGACTGGATGGTATGGGCTGCCTGGAGTTTGATGAAGAGCGAGCGCAGGTAGGGTGATACCATGCTTTGCTGAGCCTATTTGTTTTATTTAGCCCCTAATCGTTCTCTTCTCTGGGGACCTATTTTACATAGTATTAAGGGGTAAATATAGAATTACTACATTCAGTTAATATTGAGGAATTCTGGAAATATTGAGACCCACATTCTTGTCCTCATTTTTGGAAAGTTTTACCTTCAGTGGTTCTAAATTTCATTGGATTATACCAGTTTGCTTGATGGGGACTTAAAAGTCCTGTAATGTCTGTTCTTGATCTTTAGAACATTGTGAGAATAACAATGCTTTTGGAATGCCTAAGTGAGGAGCTTAGCAAAATCTCTCCAAAAACATTAATAAACTGGGCAAATACTGTTTTAAAAAATTAAAACAATCACTTATGGTCTCTGGACATTAATCAAATCATACAAATTGAGAGGCGTTTATTCAGACAGCTATTGAGTTTTAGTAGGATCAGCGACAATCTGTGTGTGGCATTCTAAAAGTCAGGAGCTGCTGTCCTCCCTTTCCTAGTTCTGTGACCCTCAGTTTTTATACTAGGTAAACTGTAAAAGCTGGTACCTGTGCTGTCCTGTTAGAGAAGACTGATTTTACTTAGAGCAGAGCTTAGGAAAAAATAATCCATGCCCAGAGCTAGTATTGAAAACAGTAAAGGTCTCGTGGACAGTCTGGCAAAGGCTAATGTTGTAGGAAGCAATAAAATGGCAGTTCAGCCAGAATTTTATCAGGGAGATCTAGGGAAAGAATGAACTAAAGTGGCCATACTAAAATGATATTTATGTGGTCCAGAAACCTGTGTACATGTACAGGGCTATACCTGCTATAAAGAGAACATAGAGGATCCTGGCAAGCTCCTAGTCTCTGGCTAAGCACAGAGTAAGTGGTAAACTCCTTAAACTTGGAAAGCATTCTCTCACGGCATTCACAGAACCAATGGCAAAGGATTGAAACTTACTGGCTCAAAGTGTTTAAATAGAATCTCTGGCCACACACTGGCTCACATGACAGCTAAGCCTTGCTGACCCAGGCGTAGTCTCCCAAAAATCAAGGCTTAAAAAGAAAAGGAAAAAGCATTGATTTCAGCAACACTAAACAAAAAGCATGAAACAACTGGATGCAGAATTCAGAGTTGCTATAGTATATTATTTGAAATTTCTAGTTATCAACAGAAATTATAAAACATGCAAACAAACATGAAAGTGTGATTCATACATAGAATAAAGAGCAAACAGTACAAAAGGCAAGTATTCTACCACTGAGCTATGTCCCTAGCCCTAGAAAATATCTTGGAAGGCCCCAAATATTGGTTCTGAGAGAAAAGTCTTCAGAGAAGTTACTTTAAATATGTTCAAAGAACTAAAAGAAAATTCTTTTCCTTTAAAGGTTTAAGGAATTTATGATGACAGCAGCTCTTCAAATAGAGAAAATTAATAAGTTTCTTTTTGGTTTGTTGTTTTATTTTTTGTGGTATTGGGGATTGAATCCAGAGCCTTTGCAGTGAGCTACATCTCCAGCCCTATTATATTTAGACGAGGTCTCACTAAGCTACTAAATTGCCCTGGCTGGGCTTGAACTTAAGATCATCTTGCCTCATCTTCCCTACCTGGCAAGAAGTCTTAAGTTATAAAATGAAAAAAAAAATGAATTAAATGAAAATTGTGGAGCTGAAAAGTGCAGAAACTGAAATGGGAAATATGGACTCGACAGCAGATATCGGCTGGCAGAAAAATTAGTGAACTTGAAGATAGATTAATAGAAATTACCTGGCCTGAAGAACAGAAAAAAAAAAAAAAAAGGAGAAAAATAGTCTCTGAGACCTGTGGAACACTACTAGCACAGATACTAACATGCACATATACTACTAAAGTAATAAAAATCTAGAAGGAAAGAGGCAAAAAAATTATATTTTAAGAAATAATGACAGCCAGATGTAGTGAGGACACGTAATCCCAGCACTTGGAAGGCTGAAGCAGGAAATTCAGCCTGAGTTGCATAGTGAGTTTGAGGCCTACCTGAACTATGTAATGAAACCTAGTCTCAAAAAATCAACATCCCCCCAAAAAGGAAATAATGAAGTCACAATGAAACCCGTTCTGTATAATTGATAAGTGCTAGAATAAAAGAGTAGGGTGGGGCTTGGGAAAAAATAATGGATTAATAACTTCAAATTCGATGTCAAATACTAATCTACATTATGCAACACAATGGACACCAAGTAGGATAAACACAAAAGAAATCCACACCTAGATGAATCATAATTAAACTACTGAAGGAGAGCAAGAATCACAGGAGTCTCAAGAACTCTTCATATACAAGGAAGTCACATGAGATTAACAGCTGGCTTCTTTTTTGAGATCATGGAGGCCTAAAGATAATTCAAAATGTTGGAAGAAAATGGAAAAGGTCCAGGTGTCTGTCTTTTAATTAACATTTAATCTTCTTAATAAAGTTTAAAAATTATGGCACAAATAAAAAGTAGCTTCCTGTTGCTTCTTTGTTGTCTTTTTACATATTTGAATCCATATGTAGAGATATGAAAATTGTCAAGAGATCAAAAAAAGCCTGGTGTTTTTTTTTTTTTTTTAAAAAGGCTGGTGTAGGAGCATGCTGCTGTAATTAGTGGGATGTAAAGCTCTAGTCCAGCCTGGGCAATTGAGCAAGACTTTATCTTTAAATTAAAATATTAAAAGAGCTGGGGTTATAGCCCAGTGGTAGAGCGCTTGCCTGCTATCTGTGAGGCCCTTTGTTCAATCCCAACTACCACAAAAGTAAAAGTTACCAATAAAACATTCCACAACAACTTAGCAAGACTCATTCTCAAAAAGTACTGGACTATATAGCTCAGTGCAAAGGCCCTAGGTTCAATACCCAATACTATAAATTAAATAAACTCATTTTCTTAATAAAGAATTCAAAGTTAAAGTTTTTTTCCTTTTTTTGGGGGGGTGGTTCTAGGAATTAGACCCATGATTGCTCTGCCACTGAGCTACATTCCCACCCCCATCTTTGGTGGTAGGGCTCGAACCCAGGGTATTGAACATGTCAGGCAAGTGCTGTCCACTGAGCTATTCCCCCATTCCTATATCTTTTTTTTTTTTTTTTTTTTTGGTACCAGGAATCAAACTTGGAACCTTGTGCTTGTGAGGCAGGTGGCAGTACCACTGAGCGAAATCCTCGGCCCTGTATCTTTTATTTAAAGACCACGTCTTCCTCAGTTGCACAAGTGGGACTTGAACTTGCAAACCTTTGTGTCAGCCTCCAGTAGTGCTGACATTAACAGCTGTGTGCCACCATACCTGCCTTCAAGTTTGAAAGAATCCTTGCTATTCTGATTTTGAAAATGGCAAAGAATCCTCCTAACTCCTTCAGAAAAATAATAAACCAGGTGCAGTGATGCATGACTGTAATCCCAGCACTCTGAGAGCCTGAGGCAGGAGGATTGCAAATTCCATCCCAGACTAGGTCACTTGTCAGTTTAGTAAGACCCCTGCCCATCTGAAAAAAAAGATCTGGGAATATAGTTTAGTGTGAAGGCTCTGGATTCAAGCCCCATTACCAAAGGAGGGTGAACTCCATCAAAAAAATCCTTTCCCCAAAATGAAAAGACACCACCAGAATTTAAGAGAAAGGAATGAAGCTGTGTTTATTTGCAGAATGTGTATGTATTTAGAGAATCTGAAATAGACTACAAACTACCAGAAAAAGTAACAAGAATTTACAAGGTGTTATATAATGCAAGGTCAATAGAGTGTCTATTGTGGTACTTCATACCCTCAATAAAAACAAAAGTGATTCTGCAACACAGCCTCTACCTGCTCCATTCCAATACTAGCCCTGATTCTCCATAGGGTGCATTGCAACTTTCACATCTGATAGATGTGTTTTGTTGGTTTTTGTACATATGTATAAATAGATGTATATAGCATGTTTTGTACCCTCTGTATATTTATGAAATTTGTCCCAACTGGTGTGTGTATTCTATTTTTCATTTCATTTTTCTTCTTTGTATGATCATGCACTACATCTGCTGACCTTGAACTCATGATCCTCCTCCCTCAGCCTTCAGAGTAACTAAGATTACAGGCCTGTGCCACACTGCCTGGCTCTAAATTCTACTGTTAATACCTGTTTCATCAGTTTCCAGCTGTTGGCTACTACAAATAATAATACTTTAAATATATTTGTAAGAGCTATGTGTACTGTATTCATTCCTGTTATGTATTGTATTCGTGCTTTGGAATAGAACTGCTAGCTTGTGAACAGCCTTAATATTTAAAGCCATGGGCTGGGGATTTACCTCAGAGGCACTGCACCTGCCTTGCAAGCGCAAATGTCCTGAGTTCAATCCCTGGTACCCTCCAAAAAAAATTTAAAGCATTTTCCTGAATATTATGCCAATTTTATATAACCAGCATATCAATTGCTATTCCACATTCTTACTAATGTCTGATTTTTGTCTTTTCGGTTTTTAAAATTTTATTTACTTACTTATTTTTGGTACCGGGGATTGAACTTGGGCCCTTGTGCTTGCAAGACAGGCGGTGGAACCACTGAACTAAGTCCCTGGCCCTTGTCTTTTTTATTTTAATCATTCTGATAGGTATGTGGTAATATCTTGCTAGGATTTTAATCATTTCTCTGGTAACATGAGACACATTGTGAAGTGCCAACTAAAAGTCTTTCATCCATTTTTCTATGGGGCTGTTTATTCTTTATGAAAATATTTTCTGATTGAAATGCAATTCTTTATATATTCTTATACTTCAAATGAAAAAAATTCTGTATAATTATAGAAACTAAATTATGTTTAATAATTGTGTGTTGATAATTTCAGTTTCTTCAATGTATAGGTGTAAATTTCAATGTGTTCTTTTACACCCTTGATTTGTTTGTTTGTTTTTGAGACACGGTCTTGATTTGTAGTTCACACTGGCCTCCAACTATGTAATCCAGACTGGCCTCAAACATGTGGCAGTCCTTCTGCCTCTGCCTCTCACATGCTAGGATTATAGGCATGAGCCACCAGCCATGGCCACCCTTGGTTTTCAGTGATGCAGTTCTCTAAAAGTTTAAAGAACTGAAACATTGGCATTTCACTATCAAATTCCTTGATAAGAAGTTTCCAGCTAATTTGAACAAAATGTGACTAATGCTCATTTACTAGAAAAAGATCAATGCTGTTGTAAGAACTAGGTTGGTTTCACAGTAGCTATTATTTTTAAGTTATATAACTATAAACCATAAATAATTAGCAGAATGTCTAATTCCTTTGGATCAAGTGTTGAATTACATGTATATCAGAATTAGTTCCTAACAAATTGTATTTTGTGTTTTTTGATTCAGTGGGAATATTGTTTTTTAATACAATGTATGTTCTACCAACATTTCTAGTTGTATTGTCAATATAAGAACCAATAATTTTAATCTTCATTGTTGTACTTTCTAATTGACTTTATTTTGGAAATCTCAAAAAGATGTCTTATTTCAGTGTAATGACTTTCAAAAATGATACTAGGTGAGCCAGGTGTGGCGGTGCATGCCTGTAATTCCTGCACTCAGGAGGCTGAGGCAGGAGGCTCGTTGTGAGTTCAAGACCAGCCTGGGCTACATAATGAGTTCCAGATCATTCTCAACCTACATAGTGAGACCCTGTGTGGGGGGTGGTATTTGGTGGGCTGGGGATTTAGCTCAGTAGTGCCACTGCCTGCCTCGTAAGCACAAGGTCCCAAGTTTGATCCTCAGTACCCCCCCAAAATTTTTTAATTTGGTTTCATGATTGGATCAGAAAAATAGAAACATTACTGGAGTTAACAGACTTTATATTTGAAGTATCTGATGCAAAATGGATGTTCTTTAGCTGTTTTTAAGGTTTTTCTATTAATGAAGCTAGTGTGTAAATAGCTTTGCTTTTTGTATGTGCATAAGAATGTAGATAAAATTAATTTGAAAGTCATTTGATTTTAATTTAAAGCTATATTCTGCAGTGATGTGTTAAATGTACCATTTGCAGCTGCACATATTAAATTGTTGCTTTTGAAGTAGATACTGATATTTCAGCAGATTTCTTTTGGTTTTCTTGTGAGAAGTGATACTCTGATCGCCATAGAGTAAATAACATCTATGTTTTGTCTTGGGGTTTGAGTGAGTGTGTGTGTGTGTGTGTGTGTGTGTGTGTGTGTGTGTGTGTGTGTGTGTGTAGTCAGTCAATATAGGAAAAGTAAATCACTGCCACAAGAGTGGTCAGAATATTCTGTATATGGTCTTATGATAGGACCATTAAATCTTTATTTCCCACATGGATTTCACTGATACTCAAGTGTGATATATATTAATTCCACCTGCTGCTTTGTGCAGATTGTGTTACAGAGCATGAAGTAATAGGCGAGTATGACAAGGAGCTGGTAGGGACTAGAGCACAGAAAGCCCCTCTTCGGGCTGGATAGTTAGTTTTCCCTGAATATTAACCTACTTCACAGGTAGCAGGTAGTTGAAGCAGCAAGAGCTGTCCTTGAAAGGGAGAACTTGTGTTGGAACAGGAAAGATCAGTATGACACTGGTTATTAATTGCCCATCATCTTTCTGATTTTACCATTTGCTGAAGTGTGGATTCTGTTCACTATAAATGCATCGCATCTCACTTGTTACCAAGACAAGTTAGAACTGGAAAGCAGAGGGCTATCAAGTCTCTCCTGCCTTGTTATCACAATTAGCAATACTTTTTATTCCTTTAATGAAAAAAATCTATGACCATTGCTGGAATACATACTCTTGACTAATAACTGTCTTAGGGAATTAGATTGTATCTCACTGTTATGTGCCCTCATTTTAACCTCTCATTTTCCTCTATTGTACTTAATCATAGTTGATGCTTTTATATTGATTTGTTAATTTTATTTTCCATCTGCCTCATTGGACCAGAAGCTCCTGAGGAAAAATTCCATTTATTCCCTTATATCATGCCTATGGCATTAAGCCTAGTGACTTGGTCATAATAAAGGCTCAATAAATATTTGTGAAACTGAGCATGTTGTCATACACCTGTAACCCCAGAATTCAGGAGTCTGAGCCAGAAGGGTCACTGCTGCTTGAAGGCCAGCCTGAGCTATATATCTAGACTCTGTCACACACACACACACACACACACACACACACACACACACACAAAAGATAAATAAAAGTAAATAAGTACATGCAGAGAAAAAAGTTATCAGCAGGTATGTCCAAGTTGGTATCTAACCAAGATATAGAAAGCCCTTGGGAACTGGGGTCAGCATTCTGAGAATATCGTAGGTATGTGTAGTGTTGTTTATAGTCAAGTGTGTGAATTTCATGTATCCATAAATGCTTATAAATAATAGCACTTAGCTGGGGATTTAGCTCAGGAGTAGAATGCCTGTCCTAGCAAGCATGAGGCCCTGGCTTCAGTCCTCAGCACACACACCCCCAAAGCAATAATACCACTTACTGAATATTAGCAGGTATTACTTTTTATTTGATGTTTAATTTAACCTCTACGTTGTTTTTGGAAAATAATACTATGCCCATTTTACATGTGAGTTTATTGAAACTTAGTTATTCCCTTGTGCTGGGTTCTAAAGCTAGTAAGCATATGGCAACAATGTTCATTTTTTGTTTTGTTTTCAGTTTTGTTTGGTTTGGGTTTTGTGTTGTATATTTGTGGTGCTGGGATTGGATCCACATGCAAGACAAGCACATACTACTGAATTGCATCCTTAGCCCCAAGAATAGCCATATGATCACATTTTTCAGCTCTGTTTATGTTGTGGACATTGTGCCACAGAAAACTGTAAGTATTAAAAAACCCTACTAACCACTGACAAAGGATTTAGTTTGTAAAGCAGAATATCCAGCAGTATTCAATCCAGGCCTGTTACAATACTGAATTAAATAATTAGAGGCCCTGTCTTTTCATTTCCCTATTCTTCCAGGCTCAGCACCTATGTCCTAATTATGATTGCAGGATGGCTGCTGCATCTCTGGGTGCTACCACAGTTCTTAGGAAAAGGGGGTGGTAAATGTCTCTTAAATGACTATTTTAAAAGCCCCATTAGTTGACTCGGCTTATAATCTTATTGAGTAGCACTAAGTCTCATGGCCACTTTACACAGTGATCTAGGAAAATGAATATTGATTTTTTGGTATTATTTTACATATTTCAGTTTGTTCAAGAGTACTATTGAAAATCTTAGTACACGTTCACGGCAAGCCAGTCACAGTGGTACATACCTATGATCCCAGCTACTCAAGGGGATGAGCCAGGATCACAGGTTTGAAGCCACTCTTAGTTATTTAGTGAGATTCTGTCTCAGAAAGAGCTGGAAATATAGTGGTAGAATGCTCCCTAGATGAATTCCCCAGCACTGAAGGGGGGACAAAAGATGAAGAGGAAAGAAGTATGTGACTGCAAAGATTGAACATTTTGTGCAGGGAGCTTTTTTTTTTTAATGGGTAGTGCGATCAGATTATGTTTTCCAAGATGACACTGATAGCTGTGGTGGGTGGATGGAGTAACAGTGGACGCAGAGAGACCCCAAGAGAGACTTTTGCATTCATCTAGGAAAGGACTCTTAGGATTCAGAATGATGAAAGTGTTTATAGAAATGAAGAGGAGACTAAAAAGCCCCAAAACATAGGTCGCTAGATGAAACTTAACAGTCAGTTGACTCTGGAGACAAGGATAGAATGAAATGCCAAACATGGCTCAGATTCCTGGTAGAAATGAGTGAATCGTGTCACTAGCTGAGATTAATGAACAGGCGAAAATTTAAAAAGTAGTTGGCTTTTTAGATAAAATAAGTGCCAACATCTGGGTTCCTTGATGTGTGGATCTTCATTAGCTAACTGGGAAAAGATTGGGATAGATTTGTTACATGCTACAAATATTTTCCCGTTTCCCTTAGAATTTTTTTTTTGTTTTGTTTTTGTTGTTGTCGTCGTCGTTGTTGTCTAGAAGTTTCTAGCTTCTACATAGTCAGTTCTGTTAATCTTCTCTTTAATGTGTCTGGCTTTTGTGTACTAGAAGAAGGCTTTTCTTATCCCAACTGATAGACATATTTGTTGACTTTTTTTGTACTTCTGTCGTTTAAATATTGACTTGGTCAGAGTTTTACTTTGGTGAGTAGAATGAGGTAAGGAAAAAGTTTTCAGTTAGAACGTGACTACTAATTTGAAATTTCTCGTTTAAAAGCACACTCAAATATTTAGTTTTAGAGTTTGAGGGGTTTGATACTTTGAGACACTGCTGTTTCTTTCAAAAAATAAAACCTCCCCAAATTTTAAATTTTATTATAAATCAAAATTAAAATAGGTATTTTGTGTATTCTGACAGCAGGAGGATGCATTAGCACAACAGGCCTTTGAAGAGGCTCGGAGAAGGACTCGTGAGTTTGAAGATAGAGACAGGTCTCATCGGGAGGAAATGGAGGTGAGAGTTTCACAGCTGCTGGCAGTAACTGGTTAGTACTTTCCCCCAAACTCTCAGGTTATGTTTGTGATGTTTGTGCATAATGTCTTTTAATACTTTGTCTTGTACTTTAAAAAATTGTACTTGCTTAATTTGTATTTATTAAATGTAATTACTCTAAAGAAACTTACTGCAGTTTTAAGTTTGTACATGAATTCCTCATGTATTGGTCTCTGTGAAAGTCATTTACTATGGGTATATTTTCTTTTAATTCATTGGTTCAAATATCTCTTTCTCTTAATTTTTGAGATTAGTTGTAAAAGTTATGTTAACATGAAACATTATTAAAGCATTATTTAGACAAAAAAATTTTTTTTTAAAGATTGTTTCACTATGTAGTTCTGGCTGGCCTAGAACTTGTGGCAATTTTCTTGCGTTGGCCTCCTGATTGCTGGGATTACAGGCATATGCCACCATGCTGGATAGAACATTATTAAAACTATTTGGGAGTAATACTACTTTCCATTTTTTATGAATATCTTTATTTTGATGTAATATAATCCTCAATCACTTGTGTACATAGAGGAAAATTTAATGTATTCGAACTGCTTAAAGAATGGAATTAACACCTCCTGCTTCACAAGCTCAAGGTACCAAATTCAATCCCCAGTACCAAAAAAAAAAAAAATGGAATTAACAAACTTTTTCTTTTGACCTTTTTTATTTTAAAGTAGAATACAGATAATAGAAATCTTTACAAAAGAAATACTTTGTTGTAACCATGAACTTGTCACAGGATCGAACTCAAGACCTTAAGTTCACCAGGCAGGTGTAGCACCAATGAGCTACATCCCTGGCCCTCAAAATTAATCATTATATACAGTACCAATTTTTATAGTGATCTCTTTCTTGTGTCTTTTAATAGTTTTATTACCATGAATTCAGTTTTATACCTCTTTTTTTTTTTTGGTACCGGGAATTGAACTTGGGACCTTGTGCTTGTGAGACAGGCAGTGGAACCACTAAGCTAAATCCCCAGCCCCATTAAGTTCAGTTTTAGACACTGAATTTTAGTCTTGCCCGGGTTTTAAATTTGATATCTTATTTTTTGTAGAACTTGGGATTGAACCCAGGGACTTCACATGATAGGCAAGAGTTTTGCTTCTAGCCATACCCCATCCCTTTTTATTTTATTCTTGAGACAGGATCTTGCTAAATTGCACACTTTAGTCTTAATTACAGTCTTCCTGTCTCAGCCTTCCAAGTAGCCAGGCTAAATTGGTCGTCTTTTAATTAACATGTACATTTAATTTTTTTCTACATAAAATTGTGCCTGTGTGTGTGTGTGTGTGTGTGTGTGTGTGTGTGTGTGTGGTATCGGGAATCAAACTTGGGACCTTGCTTTTGTGAGGCAGGCAGCGGAACCACTGGGCCAAATCTCTGGCCCTGTACTCTATTTTTAAAATTAATATTTAAAGAATATACAAATTACTGAGAAATAACAGATTCTTTGAAAAGTATACTCTTGCACATGAGGGTGTGTCTTATAATCCCAACACTCTAGGAAGCTGCAGCAAGAAGATTACAGGTTAGCACAACCTGGGCAACTTTAAGAAGGGTTGGGAATATAAGGTCACTGTAAAGGCCCTGGGTTCAATCCCTAGAACTACTAGGGAATAAGGAGGCTGGGATATTAGCTTTGTGGCAGAGCACCCTTGGATTTAATCTCTAGTACCTCAGAAAAAATACATAAAAATTTAACAGTTTTTTTTAATCTGTGTTAGAGTGAGGCTCAGTGGTAAATTTCTGTAATCCCAGCATTTTGGGAGGCTAAGGCAAGAAGATCCCAACCTGGGCAACTTAGTGATGTAGCAAGACTTTGTTTCAAAATATAGAAAAGCTGTGTATATAGCTCAGTGCCAAGACCCTGGTTCAACACTGTGCCACCAAAAAAATTATACCAAAGGTAGTTGTACTTCTTAGATACAGAGAGGAGAATGGTGGTGGCCAGGTGAAATGGGAGTGGCCACTTAATGGATATAGACTTTTAGTTTTGCGAGATGAAAAGTACGCTAGAGAGTAGTCGTACAAACTGTAAATATAACACACTGAACTGTACACCTAAAACTTATTAAGATAGTAAATTTTATGGTTATGTACTTTACAATTTAAATTTTTTTAAAAATTTAACGTCATTGTTACATAATATAAACATTTATTTGTTTTTGTTTTGTTTTGGGTTTTTTTGGTGGTGGTGGTGGTGGTGGTGGTGGTGGTACAGGGATCAAACTTGGGACCTTATGCTTGAGGCTGGTGGCAGAACCACTGAGCTAAATCCCAGCCCAGAACATTAGTTTTTAAGGACAAGTTATATATACCCTGTTACTTATAGTAACATAAAAATGTGTGTGTGTGTGCGTGTGTGTGTGTGTGTGTGTGTGTGTGTGTGTGTACACCGAAACAATATTTAAGAACCCAGGCTTGAGCTACATTGAGAATCTGAGTCTGGAATGCCATTTTGTCACCTTGTACAACTTCATCTTGTTGTTCATTCTGTGGCTGAGTTTTCTCATCTGTAAAATAAAGTAATAATTGTGACTATCTCATGGGTAATTGTGAGGCTTAAATGAATAAATACTTTGAAAGCAGAATATGGCACCAAGTTGTTACTACCTTTTGTGTTGTGTTAACAAACATATCTATTTAGAATAAATTTAAAACCAAGCCTATTCAGTGGTTAATGTATTAGATAAAGTTCTTTTTTTCTTCTTCTTCTTTTTTTGGGGGTGGGGGGTGAGACAGGGTCTCACTATATAGTTAAGGCTGACCTGGAACTCACTATGTAGCCCATGCTGGTCTCGAACTCACAGTGATCCTCCTGCCTCAGCCTCCCGAGTGCTGGGATTACAGGAATGTGCCACCATGTCCGGCTAATATTCATTATCTTTTAATGATTGATAAATTACTTTGTCAATAAGTTAATGCATCTAATGGACTGATAACAACTGAGGATGTCCCTTGAAATGCTTCTTTTTTTTCCATTAAGTTTATTGGTGCTTTTTAGGTATACAGTACAGATACATTCATCGTTGGGATCTTGTACCTTTATATGATGTATCTTGGTTATTTTTTCCCCATACCCCTATCCCCGCTTCACCCTCTCCACCCTTCCCTATTTACAAAGACTTTGTTTACATTTTTCCTTTTCTCATATTTTTCCCTTCTTTCCTTTCCCCTACCCTTCCTACTTCCCCTACTGCTTTAGCCCCATTCTTCCTGTTTCACATTATCAGTTGTACAATTTGAACCTTATTTACACACCAGAGAAATGCTTTTTAGCTAGGAGAATAATAGTGGAGGGATATATGTAATATTCTCTTTTTTTTCTTTCTTTAAAGCTTTTACAGTTCTTGTGATTAGGCTTCTATGCCATTTTCTTTCATTCTGAAAGCTTTTTTTTTTGTTTTGTTTTGTTTTGTTTTTCTTTTGAGACAGGGTCTAACTGTGTGGTTCAAGATGGCCTTGAACTTACTATATAGCCCAAGCTGGCCTTGAACTTGTGCAATCCTCCTGCCTTAGCCTCCAGAGTGCTGGGACTACAGGCATGTGCCACCACACCTGGAGAACTTTTTAAATGTATATTATAATGCATTTGTTACCTTATATTTATGAATCTTTTTGCTCATGCTCTCTGTACCTTGGTGTATAGAATACACTTTTCCACCTATTCATCAAGGTTCACCTTAAATATTTCAGGCCCTTTCCCAGTCTTCTTAATTAGAATTAGCCCTTCCATTTTTGTAGTTTCTATAGTATTTTTAATGAACACTGTGTTAAACAGTTATAAATATGACTGTCCTCTACTTTATTGAAATCCCATGAGATGGAGCCCCTGATTTTTGTGTCCTTCCCATATTATCTACCACAATGTTTTTACGTTGTGTTTAGTTGTTAACTGCCTGTATGTCTTCAAACAGCAGATTTCTATCTTGGCTGTCTGTATGCTAGAACTAAGGACAACCTGTGGGATAATGGTCTCTGCAAAAATTTTTAAAGTTTATAATTTATCGGTTTCTATTACATACTAAACTAGTAAGTCTCAGTGTGTTTTCCTAGATTCTGCATTATGGCCCGGAATTATAGAGATAAAAATGCATGGCTTCTGGGCTGGGCCTGGTGGCACACACTGCAATCCCAAGACTCCTGAGGCAGGAAAATCACTACAAATTCCAGGCCAGCCTGGAATTCAAGGCCAGTCTGAACTACATAGCAATACCCTGTCTCAGAAAACAAGAACAAACAAAATACATGGCTTCCATCTTTGAGCAAGTGTCAGTTTTGAGTGAAAAATGGATGTATACACAGGAAATTGTAATGTCCTTTCAGCAGTCATATATATAATATATGTCACCATATATAATGAAAGCACAAAGGGGGACAGTGGCTGTGTAGAGAAAGGATTACTTAAGTCTGCCTCTGCTTGCGAGATTCACCAGGGAATACACTTGGCAGGAATTCGAAGGAAGAGTGCGGTTTGCCAGCTGGACAGCTGGGGAAAGCTTTCAGGGCAGGAGCAGCAGTGTAGGCAGAGGCACAAAGGAGTAAGGGAGCTTACCAAGTCACAGAACATGATCAGTCATTCTGGAACAAGCTAAGTTGGCCTTAAATGAATGTTACCTGAAGAATAACCATTATTTAGGGTGGTTTTTTTAATATATTTTCCTTTGAAAATTAGAGGTTGACTGAAGATTGTTTTACATTGTTAAAAAGTTTTATATATATTTATGTGTCTATGAACAAAAATAGTCTGTTGACAGAGAGGTATCAAGTAATTTGTTGCTTAGATTGTTTCAGTTTTTTGTCAGTGATAGCATGAGCTTTGTAGTCAAGTCTAGTTTGTACTCCTGCTCTATCACTTGTCAGTCTCTCTTAAGCCCTAGTTTTCTGACATTGGAAGAATTAAATGGGAAGATGCTTGTAAAGCATTTAGCATGGTGCTCGGTATGTGTATGCCTACAGTA